AGACAAATGCTCCAAAGGCAAGACTCTTAGACTAATTTAAAAAAGCACTTGATGCTTACAAAGACCCATAATGATTATGATACCATTTAAGAGCAAAAATATGAATAAAGATATATTGTAATAATACTAATCAAAATACTCAAATATACTGCAGCTGTAGCTACTCTGACATCAAAGTCTTTGGAGCAAGAGGTATTACTCAGGATAAAGAGATACATTTCATAATGATAAAATGGCCAGCCACCACGCAGATGGCTGTAACGGCTCTATTTGTGCAAATACTCATGACATAGTCTCAAAATATATAGAGAAAAAAAGAATAGATGAATTCACAATCATAATCATAGTGAGAGATTTTAACACACCCCACAGGAAACCAAATTCAACCATACAAAACTCAATAAAACCAGACAAAGTAAAAAGAATAAATATATTAAAAGTTTGAACAAAATGGCCTTGCTGAGATATATAGATATCTCACTCTCCACCTAAAAATGAAGAAAACACGTTCTTTTCAAGAGCACATGACATATCGGTCATATTCAGGACCCAAAAAACCCCACAAAAACCCCAATTTTCAAAGAAGAGAAATAACAGAATGGATGGATGTTCTTTGACTATGTGGATTAGGAGTTTGACTTATGTTTGATTAGGAGATGATAAGAGAAAAGATAATTAGAAAACCAGCTGTAATAGCCCTCAAGTCAAAGAAGAAGTCTCAGGGATGCTGAGAACAGGCTCAGGCTTGAGGGCCAACTAGTGATGGTTGCACCAGCCTGGGAGGACCTGCCAGCTGCGCCGTCCCGCAGGAGGGCCGGGCAGGGGACAAGCCTCCACACCCCCCTGCCCCTCCCCGGCTGCCGCCAGCGCCCCCCTGCCCTTCCCTGGCCCAGCTGGCAGCGTGGGCTCCAGCCAAGGTCAAGGACAGCTCGGCAACTGCTCCCTCCCGCTCGCCAGGGGTTGCTGTGACCCCGGCCGTCCTTGTCCTTGCCTGCCCCGCGGCGCGAGGGTAAGCCGGGTGGTCGCAGCTGCAGGAGGGAGCAGCCCTGCAGCGCGCAGGGTCAGGGCTCCTGTGACCAGGGGGTGGAAATGTGGCCTCCTGCTCTGCCTTCTGTTCGAGAGTGACGGAGGGACAAGGCGGGGGAGTGGAGGAGACCAGGTGCCTGTCGCAGGGGGGCGGCCGGCAGCAGCTGGGGGTGGCCGGGCTGTGTGGGGGAGGCAGCGGGGACGCCAGCAGCAGCCGCGCCACCAGCCCTCCGCCGTGCGTCCCCAAGGAGAGGCATGCTGCGGCAGGTGGCCCTGCTCCTGGGGCTCCTCGTGCTGGGGACTCACGTCAGCGCCATTCAAAAAGAACTTGTACACATAAGTAAGAATTTGGATTATTTTGTGGCGTCTGTGTCGTTTGCCGTGGCTCGGTTCAACGACGACAACATGGAAGAGAACAAATACAGGGTGCTGCAGGCTGGGCGAGCCCCACAAAAGCTGAGTGACAGTCCCTGCCAGGGCTGTCCTTGGACGAAGAGCCCCGAGCCCGTCCGTGTCAGCAGGACTGATGTGGAGGGTCCCGTGTGTGCGCCACACGCTTGAAGCCGGGGAGCTGTGGGCTCCCCTCGGCACAGACACGGCTGCCTCCGTCTTTGCTCGGCACCTGGACCCTCCGCCTTGTCCTCGGGCTGCCTCCTCAGCATCTGACCCTGGGAGGCCGCAGGAGCCCTGAGGCACCGATGCCCCTACTGCCGCCACCCCAGGCACAGAGCCCTGGCCTAGCTCAGTGTCCAGGACCATGCACGCAGGGGCGGGACATGTGTGGACGCATGAGTGTGTTTGTGTGTGGGGGGGAGAGAGTTGGTGTATTTCAAGCATAAGTGTGTGTCAGAGTGTGCTGTTTGGGTTGGGGCATGAGGGTGTGTTGGTGTGCATCGGGAATGAGCGTGTGTGTGTTGTCGGTGTGTGTCAAGCATGAGTGTGTAACTGTTGGTGTGTGTCAGGGCAGTGTGTGAGTGTGTTGGTGTGTGTCAGGGCAGTGTGTGAGTGTGTTGGTGTGTGTCAGCGAATGAGTGTGTGAGTGTGTTGCTGGTGTGTGTGGGGGCATGAGTGGGCATCATTGTCACCTGCATGGATTTCTGAGCCCCTGAATGAGCCTTTTAGGCAATTTCTAGGTCAGTTCAGTGGGACTTATGTTCCAGCCTGCACAGACTTCCTGGCTGAATTAGTTTTCTCTAACGCCTGGGTGCCTCCTGGGTTTTCCTGGACTTCCTTATAAAGAAAAGAAAATAATGTTTAATAACTTTGTATAGAAGCTTACACAACATACACAGCAGATTTGTGCACATATATATCCACCTCAATGAATGTTTGCCAGATGAGCACTAGCTCTATCCCCCAAAGGGATCGGGCTGCTCTGATTTTTAATCATGGGCATCAGTCTTACCCATTTTCCTGCTGTATGTAAGAGAAACCATTCAGCATGTGCCCTCTGTGTCTGGCTAATGCTGCTCAGGCGCAGGCTTGAGAGTCATCCTATTATCAGCTGTGGTTGTAGCATGTGCGGGTTCGTTGCTGTGCAGAACCAGATCCTGTGAATGTGTCACACCTATATATTCATTGCCCTGTCCGTGTGACTACCTGGTGTCAGCCACTGGGAAGAGTGCTGCTGAGAGGCTTCCAGTGCATGTTTTAGGTGCACTTATGGACATTTTTCTGTTGACCTACAGAGAAGTAGGTACACGATATTATAGCCTTATTTATATGCACATGCATATTCCAGTGTTTGTACACTTTTCTACTTGGTTCTGTGTCTTTTTTTTCATTTATGAAAAGCAAATATTTAGCAGCTGTTTACATTATTTCTTCTTACCGACATGGACGATGATATTTTTAATGGACTTGGAGATGGGTCACTCAATTTGCAAAGAAACACAATGATGACATTCACAAATGCTTGTTGCTCTTGCAGGAGAAAGGTTTGATAATAAAATCAACCTCGAAGCATCACAATTTACTAAGAATGAAAAGTAATGACAAGGAAGCCTTTGGGATGAGACTTCATAGTGGCATCAGGAGGTGATCCTGGGAGAAGGAGGGTTCTCAGCCCCCCCACTGGAGGCAGAAGGTGGCCTCAGGAGCCCCAGGCTCAGGTTGGGGGATTCGGCAAACTCTGCCCATTGTCCTAGTGGACCTTACAGTTTTAGGAGTCCTGCCCCTGGGCAACTGCTTTTGCTTTTTTTTCTCTTTTATGTTTCTCTTTTTCTTTCAGTTTTTAATGCTTCTTGCTCTAAATGGTAACTGCTGATTAGGATATGCTTTTTAAAGTATATCATTACAGCCTCCTGAAGGCACAAACCTGCAGACGCTGCTGACCTGGGGCTTTGAAGGGACATGTTGCAGATGTGGACCTGCACACATTGGACAGCGGACAGGACGGCAATCAATGACCTTAGTTTCTATCTCAAGAATCAAAGAATTGCAAACTGAATGTGGAGAAAATAGAAGGATGAAAATTACAGCAAAAATGCATAGAAGAAGAAAGAGAAAACAAAGATCTGTAGAAAGGAGCAAGAAATCCAGTATCGGTAGGTTGAGAGGCCTAATAAGACTGCTAACCGCTTGGCAAGAGAGATCTGGAACTGGAGAAGGCAGTCGGGGCCTCGTTACAGACCCTGCAGACCTCAGAAGCCCACCATGAGAAACCGTAATCAACCTGCAGCCAGGAATGGTGACAATGACAAGAACAGGGAGCACATGGCTCTTCAGGTGGGGAACAGGGAGGCCCCAGCACACTCTGCAGCACAGCTGGCCTGATGGGCCAGAGTGTTCTTCAGGCACCATGCCCCAGCCACCCGGGGACATGTCAAGCAGCCGTACTGCCATGTGCCTGAGCTGGGCGTTTCCTCTCCTCACCCCCAGAAGCAGCAGGATGGTGGTCGCAACTGTGTCCTTCAGTCTGTGCACACTTCCAGTTCTTCCTGTGGCAGCCTCAGTTCTGCCTTTGAAACCTGTTCCCAAGGCTGTGGCCCAGGCCATGGGACCATCTGTGAAGTCACTAAAGCATAAGTGTGTGGGTGCCCCACAGCCAAGGTGGGGAAGCTGTCTTGGAATGAGCGCCTCTCATGCATGGTCAGCCTTCATGCCTCCCAGCCTGCTCGTGCCGTCGCCTTCTTTTCTTCCTAATGGCTTTCCCAGGAGGCAGACAGTGTGTGGATCAGCTCCTCCAAGAAGAGCCTGACATGGTGGCATGGCTCAGGACCCGGGACTACAGAGTGGCGGCGCTGGGTGACAATGCACATCAGCAAGTGCTTGGCAGGACCTGCCCTTCCCCAGCCCTGGATGCCCTCTCACTGGCAGGGTGGCTGTCCACGTGCATCCCTCTGGAGCTCGTGCCGGGGACTTGGCTTCACTCTTGTCTTGGAGTTCTCCCTGCCTACCCCAGGACATTAGAAACCCCTCTTCCTTGCTAAGCACAAGCATAGCCAGGCCTTGGGGCAAGAGGGAAAATGGTGAGTCGGCCAGCAGGTGCCACAGATGGTGGGAGGACAGTTCCCAGCCTCCGATACTGGCCCCTCATTCTGTACCCTCCTGAGGCTCCCTGAGGGTGTGGGCTGCAGCCCAGGCCCCAGGAGGGCAGAGTTTTCCCTCAACTCCCAGGACTCAGGGCCCACCATTATTTCTAGGGGTTCCCATGACACTACCAGTCCTGGGAGGCACCACCGTGAGGACAAGCCAGGTGGGCTTGAGACTCCCACCCAGGTCTTATTGGGGCAGCCCCAGAAATGTGCAGGCAGCAGGCAGATGCATGCCCGTGGGTTAAAGGCTCAGGTGGCCAGGGGGTGAAAATGTGGCCTCCTGCTCTGCCTTCTGCTTGGTGGTGATGGCGGGGAGGGACAAGGTGGGGGAGTGGAGGAGACATGGGCAGGGCTGTGTGGGAGTGCAGGGAAGGGTGCCAACAGCAGCCATGCCACCACCCCTCGGCCACGTGTCCTTGTCCCCAGTCTACAACCAGGACAGGCATGCTGCGGAGGGTGGCCTTGCTTGTGGGGCTCCTCATCCTGGGGGCCCACATCTGCAGTTTCCAATTTGTAGACATCGATAAGAACTTGCAGTATGTCATGATTACTGCGGAGTATGCCGTGTTTCAGTTCAACGAAGACCAGGAGGATGAGTTCGCCTACAAGTTTCTGCGGGTCCGGAAAAGCCAGCGCCAGGTGAGTGGCCGGGTGTCTCCCTGCTGTGGCTCCCACATTCCCTGCAGCCGGCCAGGGATGGTGGACGGTGGACCCTTGCCATGCACAAAAGAGCAAGCAATTTTCTAACTTGGCAAATATTTTTAAGAAAAATTCATGGTATCATCAGAAAATCTCAGTGCTGCTTTCTTACTGAGTAGCCCCTGAAAAATAGGGTAGAAGGAGGACAGAAGATAAGCAGACAGGAAATGATCGAGTCAGAAGCTCAGCTTCTGTGTGGGGGAGAGAGAAGCGGTGTGCGACGCAGAAGTCACCGATGTCCATTGTGTGTCGGCCCGTGTGCAGGAAGCCGTGGGGGAGATGGCCAGGGACCTGGTCTCAGGGGTATGTTGTGCTGGGTGAAGAGAGAAGTGAGCCGGCCCCCACATTCGTGAGTCAAATAGTGAGAGGTGGCCAGGTGCAGTCAGCGCAGTGATGCAGGGTCCTGGGAAGGTGAGGAAGGTTGAAGGGAGGGCATTATTTGGGTGGGTGGTCAGGAAAGGTCCCTCTGTGAGGCATGCCTGGAAGGACCTCACCATGCAGAGGTTTGGGAATAGCAATGCAGGCAGCCACCGGAGAGTCCACGGCCTCAAAGTCCATGGACCCGTGTCTGCTGCATGTGTGCAGGGGCAGGTGGGGCTGAGCGGTTAGGATCCTGTACTTGGAGTCCTGGGGATCCACTGGAGGGTACTACTCTGATGCTCCAGCAAGCTTCTCACTCTCCAAAGCCCCCAGCAAGCTTGGCCAGGGTGAGGGGATGGTCACCTGGTTGTCAGAGGTAGACGTGCAGGCTTCTGGGTCTATGTGGAGGCCGAAGTGGAATGTCTGTGCCGCACGCCTGAAGCCATGGTGCCGTGGACTCCCCCTGCACGGACACCGCTGTGCTCATCTTTACTTGGCTCGTAGGCCATCTGCCTCGTCCTCAGGCTGCATCCCCAGGACCAGACTCTGGGAGGCCAAAGGAGCTCCTGCGGCACTGATACCTCTACTGTCGCTGTCCCAGACACAAAGCGCAGGCCTAGCACAGAGTCTGGGACCGTGCAAGGAGGGGCAGGACGTGTGTGGATGCATGAGTGTGTGTGAATGTGTTGATGTGTGTCAGGGAATGAATGTGTGAGTGTGTGTTAGTGTGTGTCAGGGCGTGAGCTGTGAGTGTGTTGCTGGTGTGTGTTGGGGCATGAGTGGGCATCATTGTCACCTGCATGGATTTCTGAGCTCCCAAGTCAACCTTTTAGACAATTTCTAGGTCATTCTTGTGGGACATGTGTTCCAGCCTGCACAGATTTCTGGGTGAATTTGTTTTCTCTCTATGTCTGGGTGTTCCTGAGGTTTTTTGGTTTGTTTGATTTTTGTTTTTTTGTATGTCTTTATAAGGAAAAGAAGAACTTTTGCGAGATAAGCACTTTTGTGCAGTCAACACCACATGAAACAATATTCCCAGCTTCCCAAGGTGCCCCTCCCTGCCCCTGCCCACGTTCCCATCTAGATCCATCCCCCAAAGGGATTCTGCCACTCTGATTTCTAATCGTGGGCCATTTTCCTGCTCTGTGTAAAAGCAATCATTCAGCATGTGCTGATACTGCTCAGGTGCAGGTTTGAGAGTCATCCTGTCATCGGGTGTGGCTGTAGCATGTGCGGGTTCATTGCTGTGCAGAATCAGATCCTGTGAATGTGTCACACCCTATGTATTCATTGCCCTGTCCGTGTGACCATCTGGTGTTAGTCACTGGGAAGAGTGCTGCAGGGAGGATTCCAGTGCATGGACATCCTTAAATGGGGAAATGGAGAATTAAGAGGAAAAGTGGAATAAGAAATACAACAGAAATTAGGGAAGTAAGAGAGGTTGCACAGGACATGTGGATCTTTATTTACATGCATATGCACATCACCTCTTTACTCACTTTTCTATTTGGTTCTTTTCATTTTTCTCATTCCACAAAGTATTTCACAGAAGTTTCTACAATTTCTTCTTGACAGATGTTTTCTTGGATATATTTAATCGACATGGAATTGGGCCGCACAGTTTGTAAAAAGCGTGATGAAGACATTGACAATTGCCCATTGCAAGAAGGCGCAGGAGAGAAAAAGGTCTGAGACTAAAATAAACCCCACAACATCCCGATCAACTAGGGATGAAAGAAAATGTCAAGGAGAGCCTTTGGGAGGCGACTTAGGAGAGTCATCGAGGGACAATTCTGGGGCAGAAGGAGGGTTCCTGACCTCTCTGCCACAGGTCTCCAGGCTCCCCTCGCCCCCCACCCCTCGCTGGGAGACAGAAGGTGGTCATTCTGAGCAGGCAGAGCCTGACTCCCTGCACTGTGGGTGAGCCCTCTGCTCACAGCCCAGCGGCTGACCGCAGGCCCCCTGCAGACGTCCAGATGGCCTTCCTCTCTGGCTGGAGCCCCACTCTGGGTCCCGGCCCTGTCCCTTGAAGAGACCCTAGAGGTTCAGGCAGATGATGTTTTCCATGTGGTCCTTACTCTTCTTTGCTCCTGTTCTTGGGGACTGGAGGACTGTTTATTTCATCTGCACACGCAGCCACTTCTCTCTAGTTCATGTCTTTTGGCTGTTCCCCCTCAGTCCGAGTTCATCATCCCATGGCTGATGTGTGATCCAGGGGATCCTGGAGCTTGAGGATGGGCCTCAATCAGGGTGATGCCATCAGTGAGGCTTGTTTCTCCCTCCAACCCACAGCCTTCCCTTGGGTGGGTTTGCAAGCTGCTGCTCAGCTAGTGGGTGCCTACCTCCGGACAGTCTTCTGCTTCCTCAGACATGTGGAGGGGCAGCTTATCCAGCATCGTGTGAGCTGGCGATGCTGTGAGTGGATGGGATGCTTCAGGTGCAGGTGATGGCTCCAACCAGGATTCCTCTCAGGAGCCCCAGGTTCAGGCTGGTGGATTGAGCCACCTCTGCCCATTGTCCAGGTGGAGCCGTGAGCTTTACAAGCCCTGACCCCAGGGGACTGTTTTTGCTTGTTATTTTTAAATTTAAGTTTAATTTAATTTAATTGTTTTAGTTTTAATGCATCATGATCTCAAAGCGTTGCATTTTTCTCATTTATGCATTACAATTTTTTTTCAGGTGCGCTGCTCTTTTCATGTGGATGCCCAACCCTGGATTACCCAGTTTACTCTCCTAAACAGCACCTGTGTGCAGACATAGGTGGGGATGAAGGCCCTGGCTTTCCACTGTAGAAGTCCCTTTCCTTCTGGGGTGTGACAGTCTGTAGTCGCAGGTTGGTGCAGTAAGTACCAGCAGAATTAAAGGCATCTCAGCACTTTCAGGTCCCTGTGCAGTCTTGCCCTCTCCTGCTTCGTTCATTTTCCATGGATGTCGCTGCCAGTGATATGGGATGGAGACTATGTCATCATCATGGTTATTACCCCAGCTGCAGGTGCAGAGCATTGAATAAATCCAACTCCCCACGTCATGAGGCACTTCATGTAGGGGTTCCAGCGGTGGGTTTGTGTGCTCATTCATTCATTCATTCTTCCATTCCTTCATCTGTTCATTCATTCATTCACTCTCCAACTTCCCCATGCCCCTCATCCACCTACTCAAAAGGAATGCAGACAATTTTTCTTGTGAGCATCCACCTGGGTCCCCTCTGCTGCCATCCCAGGACCAGGCTCACAGTGGGTGGCCTTTCTGCAGAGGGCCAGGCCCAGGCCCAGGGGCAGGGGAGGGCCACTGAAGCTGACAGGAGACTCTGCCCTCTGTGGACACCGAGGGCTACTCGATGACCAGAACATCTTCTCCAGGGCTCAACTGACAACTGAGAAGATGGCAGCGCCAGTCCCCATGTCCTCATCTGGTCCTTGAGGCCTGTATTCCTCATCCGGTCCCAGCTGGGCCTCCCCAGCTGTCAACACCACTCCCTGCCACCATGGTGGCAGACGCCCACCTGCCAAGCAAGTCTCTCCTTTGGAGTGTTCGTTGGGGAGCAGCCTTGGAGGGCAGAGAGAAGGAGGCATGGGAGGGTGGGAACAAGATTTGGGCAGGGAGGCACTGGTGATGCCTTCTAGAGGAATACTCCAGAATGGAACGACTGGGGGGTCTTTTGTTCTGTGTCCTGGATTTCTGTGGACTCTGATTTGAATGTCCCTTTCCTGGCCGACACTTTCCCATGCATTTGTTATAAGAGCTGGGCTCACAAGCATTGGTCACAGGCAGGAACTGCTTCAGCTTCCAGTCCCATTTCACAGAGGGTGGTGCTTTTTCACACTACTACAGTTCTTTTCTACTTTGATTCCCCTCCCATAGGTTTCATTTTATAATTTTCTTAGACTCCAGGCAACACCCCTTCTCTATTGTAGCAGAAAGTTTGACAACCAACATCAGAAATATATGAAGTCCCCAGGTGATTGGCACTTGCAGCCAAGATTGTAAAAAGTTCTCTTAAGGAACTCCAGTATTTTAGAAATTGCGTTAATTGCTCTTAGTGTATTTTGTCTGTGGTCTGTGTCTTTCCTCTGGTTCCAGTTCTCTCAGAAATTTAAAACAATGTCCTATTGTGGATTTTACTGAGTTGAAGCTCAGAGGTCATGAGCTGTGTAGACGTCCTAGATGGGTTGGTAAGTTTTGTTCCTGCTACTCTTGTCATAGGATGAACCAAAATTAGTAGATTTTGAATGATGTGTCACTCTCCGAGATCGGCCATAACCCAGGAGTCTTTCTTATTTCTTTGTGCCCTGGAGAAACATCTGTGGATTCAGCTCATACATTAGTTGGCCCAAATCAGTAGGAGTAAAAAATATATTTGAATGTTGTACACACACACAATAGAAAATGTGACACAGATTTCATAAATTCTATTTTAGGAAAATAGAATTTAGAATTCTAGGGTGAAAGGAGGCCACACCAAATGGCGGCTGTTTAAGTTCCCCACCCGCATGGTCCACACAAGATGGCGCCTAGAGGAAGCAAAGGGGGAGTGTCACTTTTAGTTCTGCAAAAATTTTTATTGGTAGTTGCACCTTTCCGGGCTCTTGATCAGTGCATGATCAGTAGGCTAAGAATTAGAGAGGCAAGGCACATGCACATTTGACCTTTTCAAGGATTGGCCTAAGCTTGGAAATCTCCACCTGGTAAGCATATAAATATGATCTTTTGTGTTACAATAAACGGAACTGCTTGACGGAACCCCCGCCGCGTCTGAGTGTTCCTTTGTGGGCTGAATAGGGGGGCGGTGCACTCACCCACCTTCGGGATCCTTCTTCGGCTTACACAGCAGAGGGCAACTTATCTGGTCCTGCCTGGGGGGGGGGGTTGGGAGTCTGCTGGGGATCACTCGGTGGCCATGGCCAGGGAAATCCGGAGCCAGGGCCTGGCTGACCGAGAGAACCCCTGACAGCAGCACACTGGTTCTCAAACTTGGCTGCACATTGGAAATTCACCCCTGGGAACTTTTAAAAACTGCTGGCTTCTGAAACCAACACCCACAGATTTGATTTCCTATTTTAAGATTAGAAATGTGTATTTTGCTCAGTTTAATAGTTAGCCTATAGCTGTTATGGCAGTTAAGCACCTAGACTCTAGATAAAAAGAGTGGAAACTTGTAACAGGGAATAGATTATGGACAGTCACTTAAAGAATGTTATGTTTATCTTTAAAAAAAAAATGTAGCCAGTTAAACATGAAGTGATAATTTAAACAATACTCAGAAATGATTTAGATTCACCAGATGCTTGCCTCTGCTTTTTCTTTAAAGACAACAGTACTGACATGCAGATTTTTTATTTTTATTCTTATTTTTTTTGCAGATTTTGAGGTTGGGGTGACCTGACCACAGTCATGAGATCATCCGGCACCCACTCATCTCTGACACCAGTCCTAAGTTTGTTTTGCAGATGAAGCAAGACCACCAGAGACCGAAGACCTGCTAAAATACATGCACTCCCCAGATCAGAAGCAAGATGCTGGTTTCACTGAGGACAGATCAGATTCCCACATGGCTCCCAGGACCCTGACTCATGGCTTGGCTCTATAAATACTTGTCATTTTAGGCTATCTGGGAGTCTGAGGTTTCAAACTCCTTTTGCTGCATTGTTGTCCTTTGCCTGGCCACTCAAACACTGCTCTTTCCCGCTGCAAACTTTGGCATGAGAGACTCTTTAGTCACATGGTGTGGTGGATGACAGGCCCCTTCTTGGTTCAGAAACACTTCCTGGACCCCTTCCCAGAGATTTTTATTTTATTGGTGAGGTATAACCTGGGGTCTTTAACTCCCCAAGTGCTTTTAATATGAAGCAAAATTTGAAAATCATGCATAGGTTATTAGTAAGTGACTAGCAGTTTGGAAATAAATAATATATTTAAATTTGTATAAAGCTTTTACATAAATTCTTCATCTAGTCGTTTATTATATAGAAATACTTGTGTAATTTCACAAAGATATTGGAAAAGTATTGTTCACTATATTACCGAGCAATAGGCTTGCTGCCCAATGCACACAAAAAACCAGCACTGTGATGCTGGCTTTTGTGAAAACAAAGAACTTTATTGCATGACCAGCCAGCAAGAAGTCAGGAGGCTGTGCTCATATCTGCTCCCCAGACCAAGTGTGACTTGTTTTTACAGGAAACTCAAAGTATAGAGAATTATAGGCAAAATTACAAAAAATGCAAGTTGGCAGGAGCTGGTTGGTAGGAGATAAGCCCATTCCAACCTCACTCCATTTTCTGCTCGTCCTGCAACAAATGGTGACGGACCCCTCGCGTTTTAGTTGTGTCCAACATTCTGGCTCCAGTAAAGCTCTGAATTTTTGTTCCATGCAGGGGGGTGGGGGGTGACTTTGGTTCTGAGTGACATCTGGAAGTCATGGTCCTCTGAACATGTTCGTCCTGCTTCAGAGACTGGGGCTTCTACAAAAAAACAACCTTAAANTCCTCTGAACATGTTCGTCCTGCTTCAGAGACTGGGGCTTCTACAAAAAAACAACCTTAAACAGTAGTAATTCATGATCATCTGACCATTACAAGAAAGTGGAAAGGCACTTTGTTATCATAAAAGGAACTCCAGGCAATTACTCAGCTTAGTCAATTGCCTGGCGTAGTTAGCAGCTGGTTTCAACTACAGTACTGTTTGTATGCACCAGAAATGAGAAACAACCGAATGATCCATCACTAGGGAAATAGTGTAGCTACAATGTGTGCATTCATGCTCTGCAATGTTCTTCAGCCTGCCTGGCAGAGCAGTGCCTGTATGTGTTTCCTGTACATTGACCCCTCAACCCCTCCCCCCCGATACCCCCACCCATGATGGTCTGGAGCCCATCAATCTTTGCAGCCTGGAACAAACACCCACCTCTCTGCACCTCCAGGAACTTGCTGGACACTGATTGGGGATTTTCACATAAAAGCAAAATCTCTGAGAGCTCAGGGGGGTGCACGGCCCCCTCCTCCCTCTAAGGCCCAGGCTGGGATCCGGGGTGGGCTGTGTGACCCCTTGCCCTGGCAGGATTGGGGAGGAAGGTGCCATTGGCCGAAACAAAGTCCAGAGGTCAGGCATTGAGGAAGCTGGGTTGATAGCACAGGTGGGCAGGAGACACCTGGGGGGCCCTCCACTCCAAGGGCAGAGTGGAACGTGCTTGCACACTGTCTGTGGCTTTCTGAGAGCTGCTTGGACCCAAAGGCCACAGGCTGGCAGGTGAAAGGTGCCCTCACTGAGGCAGAGTCACAGATGGGGATTACATCACAGAGTGTGACCTCCCTACAGGGGCGTGGACCTGCAGGTGAAAACAGACCAGAGATCAGAACCCGCAGAGCCCACTGACTAGGGCACAGGCATGAACTGAGCGTGCTAGAGATCCAGGAGAACCACGGGCTGGGTGGCGGGGCAGAGGCCAACTGCACAGGAGGAAGAAGGGGTCTGGTGTGTGGAGCAGGTCCAGAGTTCACAGAGGGCTGGGGTCAGGAAACCTCAGGGGCAACAGTTTTCACAGTCACATCTTGCAGGACCAAGAAGCAGATAACAAGAGCAGGTAGTGACATGCACAGGGTAGGTGTAGACACATCTGGGTCCAAGTGGAGAGGAAGTTCTCCCTAGAAACACAGACCACACCCAGGACAAGGAGGGGGAAGGCTAGTAGCAGAGACTCCTTCACTGGCATCCCACAGGTGGGTTTCCTTGGAGGAGAGAGGTGGCCCTAAAGAATGACCCTAATCGCTCTTTCTTGAACCCAGCTGGGCTAACACTGAGAGAAGGCAGCCTGCCAAGGCAAGATCT